CGGTCCTTGCATTTCCTCCTTTGAAAAAGGGCTTGTGGCTAAAAGGTCACTAGCTGGGCGCCGGGTTTGAGGTTTCACCCTGCCCCACTCCCCATTCCTTAAAACTGAGATCTTAGGGAAGATAAGCCGGGACCAACAGGGCCAGCCGAGACGCGCTCCCCCACCTAGCGTTGCCAGCATCTCTGGAATTGTCTGTTTCTCCCCGCTCCTCTTGTGACTGGGAACAAATTTATGAACAACCCTCCCCCGCAAAAACAAGATTTTTACCCCGAAGACAGATCAGCCTTGATCCTTCCGTGTCTCAATAGAAGCAGAATTGGACCCGTTCCAAGGTTAAAGGAGGTGCAGTTAAATGTTAACTAAACAGGGCGCACATCTGGCACCTCGGAAGCTGCCCAGCCCGATCCTAACACCCAGCGGCAGGGCAGGGCTTTGTTACCAGACAAAGGAAGCTAGCAGAGGAGGCAGGTCCTCAGAGGACAACCTGAGAATAAGGGTTACCCTGAGGCGCCGCAAAGAAAGCCGGAACAGGCACTTCTGTGCGATCAGCATCTAGAGGAGTCTAAGGTGCCCAGGAGGCGCCGGGCCGTCCTAATCTCTAGGACAGACCTCCACTGCACTACAAGGCGGCATGCAAGGATTAAGCAGCCGCCCTTCCGTCGCTGTCAGGTGGTCTAAGCAAATGAATCCTTTACTGGAATTTGACGCTGGATCACTTATTGTTTACATGAGATTCTGATTTAGTCTGTATTTTATCTGGAAACCCTACTATGATTCTTAGCACAGAAGAGAAACTGAATGTGCACGCCTCTCCGAATCTGTCAGGCAGAACCCACTTCCTATTGGGATTCACACAATTCGTATTTCTTTAGATGTTGTAATCACTTTCACAATTGTTTTAGCGTATTGAAAATAACTTTTCAATATTAAAGTCAAATCGTGGAAACATATACTGGAAATATTGGGATGCGGGGGCTGGGGAGGCAGAAAAAGAATGAAGGGAATTCAACCCAAGATCAGCAAGAAGGCCTTCTTGGAGTGGGCTCACCAGGTCTTTCACTACCAAGATGAACATGAACCCTTTGAGAAAAACAAAAAACAAAAAACAAAAAACAAAACAAAACAAAAACCCCTACAAACTAGTAAGCTGTGTAAGTAGCTTTCCATGAGTTCCAAAGAAATAAAACAATTTTGGGGTCATTGTCAATTAAATAAAGATGACATTACTTTTTCTTTTTCATGAAGAGACAATATAATTAGAGTGGGCAATACCTGTTTAGAAGTATAAATTTTACTGAGGCAGCTGGTCCACTCCTACAGAGTGTCTGCTTCCACACTACAAGGCAAACTAGTAGCTGTTGGAGGGAGAGTTTGGTCCATGCTTACTATTTGGCCCTTCATGGAAAATGTTGGGAAGTTCTGTTATGTGATTTTAACACCACCCTGCATTTACCATTTAAACGCTTCTTTTCAGTGGCTGCAATTACCCTCCTCCACCCTCACCCTTTTTGAGCCTTCTGCTTAAACTTCTTCGACATTTAACATTGCTTTTAGTTATGTTCTTCTTCTTTTAAAAATATTTTTAAATTTTTATTTCTTTTTATGTATATGGATGTTTTGCCCGGTGTATGCCTGGTTCCTGCAGAAGCCAGAAGAGGGTGGATCCCTTGGGACTGGAGTTACAAACTGTAGTCAGTTGTCATATGGGTTCTGGAATTGATCTCAGAAACTCTGCAAGAGCAGCTGGTGCCTTTAACCACAGAGGCGTCTCTCCAGCCTGGATTTTAGTAATTTTGATGGCTACATACTATTTTGTCCTGATACTGAACACATATAAAATCAGTTTTGAGCTTTAGCATTAATTGGTTGGTTTTGACTGTGTTTTAAGTTTGAAGTATTGTTATGATTATATATCATTATACCTGTTATACTATTTTCTGAAAATAGGCTTCTCTGGATAAATAATCGGGGTTAAAAACAAAAGACCAAGGGATTGTTTTCTTTTATAGAGTTTACTGCACACTAAGATTTTGTCTTCCAAAAGAACTGTCTCAGTTCTATCACCAACAGTGCAGAAGTAAAATGTGTACCCCCCATCTGACAAACTAGGGCTCTGCTCTTTAAGCTTACTTATTTTATACTATTTATAAAATAAGAACAATGGATTGCCTAAGGATATGAGGGAAGGAAAATAACTTGCTTTCAGGGCAGTGTTTTAACTTTCCTGGGCCTGGGATCCTTTTGTCTTTGTAGATTTCTTTGTTAACACATTAAAAAAAAAAAAAGAATGTTGAAAATGTATTATGAGAACCTCTACTTATAAGTCCATTTGTTTAGGTCTGAAGGCCTTACAAGACAGACAAATACTTTCCTGGGTGTCTAAAATGTATTGTGGGCTTAGGCACTGTGCTCAGTATGTAAGTAGGTTTGACCACTATTGTGCATTTTTAGACTATTAAAAAACTTAAGAGCTTTATTTTCTCACAGTGGGAAATAAACCCTGGACCACAAGAGGCTTATTATAGAAAAATAAAATTGTTATTGTTTAACTTGTAGTATTGAGTAAGAGAAATTAGTAACCTCTTTTGGATTTTCTTTCGACCTAGATAGTTTGTGGAAAAGTAGAATTTTAGTGTGCTGTTAGTTGAACGACGAATTAATGTATCGCGCTCTCTCTCTCCCTTTCATACTGCAATCCAAACAGATACCCCGATGTGCAGGCTCGGGTGCAGGCTGAACTGGACCAGGTTGTGGGGAGGGACCGTCTACCCTGCATGGGTGACCAGCCCAACCTGCCATACGTCATGGCTTTTCTTTATGAATCAATGAGATTCTCCAGCTTTTTGCCTGTCACCATTCCTCACGCCACCACTGCCAACACCTTTGTGTTAGGCTACTACATCCCCAAGAACACGGTGGTTTTTGTTAACCAATGGTCTGTGAATCATGACCCAGTGAAGTGGCCTAACCCAGAGGATTTTGATCCAGCCCGATTCCTGGACAAGGACGGCTTCATCAACAAGGAACTAGCCAGCAGTGTGATGATTTTTTCGGTGGGCAAACGGCGGTGCATCGGCGAAGAGCTGTCTAAAATGCTGCTGTTTCTTTTTTTCTCCATCCTCGCTCATCAGTGTGATTTCAAGGCTAATCAAAATGAGTCCTCAAACATGAGTTTCGAATACGGCCTGACCATTAAGCCCAAGGCATTTAAAATCCATGTGTCTCTCAGAGAGTCTATGGAGCTCCTTGATAGTGCTGTCCAGAAGCTGCAAACTGAGGAGGCTGGCCAGTGAGAAGCCAGAGACAGCTGAAATGTTAGAAGAACACCTGCCTCTTTACCCCCCCCCGGGGGTGGGGGTGGGGGTTGTTTTACCCGCTCTATCTTTGTCATCACTTCTCTAAGTGGCCTGAAGGTGAGACATATTTGCCAATTCATGGCTCCTCAAGGGCACGTGCTGCCATTACTGGAAGTATGCTTGAATCAGAGTAAAGGGGCCCAAGGAATTTGGATCCTGTCAGCAAAACTTTCTAAGGGAATTTTTTTCCAATTAAACATACGCACATACATCAGTAGATGTGTGCAACTATCTAACAAAGTATTTCCTTACTTCTACCTTTGTAGGTAGATTTGCGATGGATTTATGTGCAGAAATTTACCCTTTCAGAAACTCTACTAAGCAAAGGTTTAGGATATATTCAAGATTCAAAGACAAGTGATTTCAGTGGGAAAAAAATGTAAAGACCAGAAATTCTTCACCAAGAAACAACCTTCTTTGGAAACTACTCTAACCCTTTTGTAGTAGCCCTGCTGGGTGAGGGCTCTCCTGCCTCCCACTTTAGGATGGACCATAAAGTCAGTTGCTCAAAAAGAAATTAATAGTTCATTTATTCACTGCAGTAAGTTTCAGAGATTAATTAATTAAAGGTAAATAGTTTAGATGACAATTATTTTTTACAAGTTAAAGCTGGATGTCGTTTGACTGCTAAAGTAAACTATTCCAGTGATGAGGAGAAAAAAAGATTTGCCAGTCCAGCTTAAGCTTTCAAATATGGGATTATAATAAACTTGTCTCAGTAATAAGTCTCATAAACTGAAAAAAGACCAACTCAAGTCACCAATACTATTCAATGCATATAAATTTGTTACATGATTATTCACAAACATCATCTGAATATTAAGCATCTGATCAGAAAAACATTTGAATCATACGTTTCTTATGTCGTATTGTAAACCAAAAAGTGTAATCAGTTGAAATTTGCCCAAATCCAGGAAATGAACTTGACTAAATCAATTTGTTTTTGACATCAGGGAACCAAGTATCAGAAAGATTTTTTTTTTTCTCATTCAAGGTTCAGACAAGGGACAAATCTCCAAACTAAATCAGCAGAATATGTTCTAATCTGGACTGCATTGTTAGAATATTGACACTCCTTCTGGAATCCACCCCATGTGTTAAAATTCCATACTCTTGGCATGCTTCGATTTTAAATGAACTTAAAATCATTTTAATTATTTCCTTTCAGTTGACGCTAGAGGAAATATGATCACCTTCCCTTCAAAGGTGAGACGCCCAACCTTTGTCTGAAAAAAGGCCATGAATATCCTAGATGTTCTTTGTATTAGGCCATACGATAGGAAACTCATTACAACTGTTTAGACATCTCTTTAAATGTTATTATTGTTGTTACTGTTATTGTTTTTTAAGTTCAGTACTAAAGTCTGTTTTTTGTTTTTTGTTTTTTTTTTTTTGTTTGTTTGTTTGTTTTGTCCTGGGAGGCTGTTTAGTGACTGCATTGTGAGACGCTGGAGAGAGCTCAAATCAACTCTCTTATTAGGATGGCACACAATGAGCAGTTGCTTTTTGGTAGCTAGGAAAGAAGAAATATATGTATTGGATTATGTAAACAAGCCGAACACCCTTCAAGAAAGGCTCCAAGAGTGCAAAAGTAGGCACAGGGCCGGTGGGGGTTTCCCGTTTCTGTTTTCATTGCAATTAGATGTAACAAAAGACGCCCTCAGTACTCAGCTTGCTGTTTGCTCTGTTTCTTTGGGCTTTTTGGAATTTTCATATCAGAATTACAAAGGATGGAGTCTGTGATGCTTTGTATGTGGAGTCGGCCAGAAGCCACAAGACAAAGAATGAGTATGAAGAAAGATGTCTAAATGGTTCCCATTCACTACAAATTAATTTGTTGAACTATAAAGTTTGAAGCATGAATGTTTAGAAAAAAAGATGTTTGGAATGACAGCCCTGAAATTTCAAGGTTATATTAAGAATCGCCCTACCTCCCCCCAATACACACACATCGATTTTCTGGTTGGAAATTGAATAATAAAATTTAACCTTTATTTAAAAATTTTCACACCAGAACCTCTTGAATGTGAAACACGGGTTGTGTCAGTATTTTAAAGGCCTTAATTTCAACTACAGAAATTAACTCTATCTAAATTTTTAAGGCTTTTTTAGACATCTTGAAAGCTTGTGCCTCAGTAGGACTGGGACAGTGACATGGGCTCCTGTGGCCTCTTTACTCTGAGAAATTCGTAATAGTAACCATCTGGAACCTTCATTAACAAAACCCACACGTTTGTTTTGTGAATGGAGGCGCTGTTTTCATCTGATGCTTTCGGAGGCTGGGAAAGAAGCAGTGTGTTTGTGTGTGTGGTGTGTGTATGTGTGGCTGGTGTGTGTGTGTGTGTGTGTGTGTGTGTGTGTGTGTGTGTGTGTATGTGTGTATGGTGTTTGTGTGTGTGGTGTGTGTATGTGTGGTTGATGTGTGGTATATGTGTGTGTGTGTGTTTGTGTGTGCACATGTGCTTGATATACTTAGAACCTGCTGAGAGGAAGTAGGTTGCAAACCAGAAATGAGTAATTACTAGCAAATTTAGAGGCTATCGTGATAGAGTACTGGCTTAATCAGAAAGCCTGATTTTATTTCTGCCACAGAGGGACTTCATTTGCTGATCACCACTTAGGTCAGAATGTCCATTTCAGATCAGAGCAGAAAAAGTACGCTTTCATTAAATGCCTTGTTTGTGTAGTAAAGCTTGGACTGTGTCAGAACATTCGGTTTTTTTTCTTTCAAAACAAACAAACAAACAAACAAACAAAGATGCCTCAGGTGTGTTTTGTGGATTAATCAAAAGAGTTCATGTCCCAGAACTTAGCCTTTACCTGTGAAATGTTACCACACTCAATGTTTTCAGGACAGGGCTGTATTAGATCAAATAGATACACTGCCATCTGTGTTAATTAGTATGTTTTCAGCTATGACATGATTGTGTGATAAAGAGTATATTTTACCTGATGACTGTAATCCAAGGATAACTTCCTATTTATCCTCTTCTTGTGGTTTTATACTTTATCATATATGTTCTTAGTATGTATATAGCTGATCTAGTGCACAGTCATAACCAAGACAGATCCTATGCACACAGCATTAACTAATGTGTAGCCTTTGCCTTTTGATGTACTAAAATTTAAAAAGTTTTATTGGTCATTATCTATTACGAAACACCATTACCTAACTAATAAAATTCACTTTCATAATTCTATGAAGTTTCTTTTTATGTTACAGAAAGTCTAATTGGTCATTTACTTTTACTGTTCTTCTGTGCCCTTGCACTGCAACACGGAGGAGTGTGGTCCTTGCAGCCCCTACATGTGTTAATTCAGCATTCACCCAACTGTGGGTATGTGCTTGCCTTCAACTTAGTTCTACATCAGTGCATTACTCCCTAATGTGAAAAAAATTCATTGTACACATTTCATCCCATACTTTAGCCTGTTTGCTCTTTTATTTTTTCCCAATTTATTTTTATTTAATACTTTTTCAGCATTCAGTTTTCTTGAGCAAATCCATGGTCTTTATATTATTGAACTTATAAAGACCAACAAAGAGTTAAATTTTACTGGTGATCAGCCAAGCAAAATAAGAATTAACCTGTAATTTTGAAAGACTGGATTGAGGTCTTAACATGCTGAGCTAATATTTCTGCTTCATCTGAAAAATGTGTGATTTGTTTTCCCCCTCAGCAGCGTGCTGACCCTCCCTTGGAGCATCCATCCATTCGTTTTTAAGATTTGTGCCCCTTTGTGTAAGAGTAGCTGACGTCCAATAAAATAAAATGGATAAAAACATTCTGCAGTGCACTATGTAGAAATATTTTTCTGCACACCTGTTGATTTGGTAAGTAACATGGTGTCACAGGATCTGTAGACTATGCTGGCCTCAAAGTCACAGTGATCCATCTGCCTTTGCCTCGTGAGTGCTGGGATTAAAAGCATGCACCACGACCTCCCATCTGCTAATTTTTTTTTTTAAAGCAAACAAAACTGGTAGTAGAAAGAGCTAGGGACTATGTGAAGCTCCTGTAATTCTTATATAATCTTTCGATGAATGCAAAATGGTGTAGTATGACCCAACTCCAAGATATTTATCCTGTGTAGGGGAAATAAGTGCATACAGAAACTATACCTAAATGTTCCCAGTGGGTCTATTCATAATTACCCAAACTGGAAATGACTTTTTTCCAAAGGTGATTAGTTAAAATGAATGTCGTACAGTCTCATAATAGACTATGACTTAGCAATAAAAAGAAATAACTGCACATAAACTCAACAATGTGGACACTTGTCAAGGGAGTTATGTTGGTTAAAAAATACAATAAGCCGCAAAAGGTTATATACGGCATGATTCCAATAGGTTAGTTCTGGAGAATGCTGGAGTTAGGTCTGTGCCAGGCCTTTTCTTTTAGATCACTAACCAGTTCCCAAATCATACATGGAGACTTACCCTTAGTTATGAAAGCTCTTATTTTAATCTGTTTCTCTTTATCTATGTTTTGCCTCAGGGATTTTTACTTTCTTTCTGCATCTCTCACTTTCACTGCTTCTGTCTGTCTGTCTGTCTGTCTGTCTGTCTGTCTGGTGGCTGCCTGGCTTCTGGCCCCAGTTGTGTCTCTCTCCTTCTCCTTCATTCTCTCATCTCTTGAGCCTAGATTTCCCCTCCTACTTAACTTCTCTGCCTGCCAGCCTTGCCTCTCCCTCTCCTGCCTAGTTATTGACCATTTAGCTCTTTATTAGACCAATCAGGTGCCTTAGGTAGTCAAGGTGAAACAAATGCAACACTTGTTTACATAATTAAACATATCTTTGCCTAGATAAAATAATATCCCACAGGCTGGAGGGATGGTTCCTTGGTTAAGAGCACTGACTGCTGTTCCAGAAGACTGTTTCAATTCCCAGAACCCACATGGCAGCTATACAACTGTCTCTAACTCCAAGATCTG